TCTCGTCATCCACTATTCATCCAGCTCGCCTCTTTCATCCGCAGAATATTAGATCCACAGCTAACACACACACACACACACACACACACACACACACACACACACACACACACACACACCTAACAACCATGACACAGTTAACAGTTTCAACCCTTCCTTCCTTCCTGAGGCTGTTCTCTTGTGGTAATGACAAAAAGGGGGAAAAGTTTCCACATAACCAAAACGCAGCCAAATGTTTTTTATCAGCAAAAATCTGGAGAAGATGTAACAGACGTCCACACATGCACGTCTGCACACAATGACGTACCCTCAACGCAATCATGTGTTTGTATGTGTGTGACTGTGTGTGTAACATTACCTCCAGCTGTGTGTCCCTTTCGTCCACCAGGTGTTTGAGGTGGAAAGCCAGGTTTCTGGACAAACTGTCTAAATCCTCAGGAGGCATTTCCCCACTTTCCAACCACTGCAGGTCCACCACGTTCTCCTGGTTATGAGTCACCTGAAATCAAAAGAATGCTTTTTAAGGATACATTCACTTTTTTTGTAACTGGAACTGAACTATCACATGGTTTCTGCTGGATCATAAAATGTCTATATTTAAATGGAGCCAAAGAAAATAAATTATAAAGAGACTCTCGAGTTTTGTTTATTGTGGTGGGGAAATACCTCTTGGATGTGGGACGCAATGGCAGCTTTGCTGTGAAAGTCCAGAGTCTGGATTCGCTCAATGTACTCCTCCTTCTTCTCACACTGGAGAGGAGAGGAAGAAGAGAGGAAGAGGAGAGGGAAAGGAGAGGAAGGGGAAGGGGAAGAGGAGATTGTATATATATATATATATATATATATATATATAATGAGATGAAGTGGAGGGGAGGTCATGTTGAGGTTAGTAGGTCAACACTGACATGAAGCAGAAGTTGATCTGATAAACAGTTTTCCGGAAAAGGAGAAACTGTATTCAGGGGAAAAAAAGTCCCGTCTTCAAGTGCAACTTTATCTTGTGGATCAGACAAAGATCTTTTTATTCTCTTAGCAGCAGAAGAGAACGAAATGGTTCAGTCCTTTTCTCTTTACTTTTACAGCTTGTGCTGATGCTTACTCAGCAGCAGGTGCAGCAGAGTTTAATACAGACTTGAATTAGACACAATATTAAATCAGAGTTTGTCCCATGGACACAACAATAGTGTCTTTAGAGCTGGAGAAAGGTCAGGGATATTGTTGGAAATGTGAAAAGAGCTGAATGAAGACTTTGTAAACAGGGCAAATGGCAGCAATCAAAGGAGGCTCTATCCAAATGAGATTTCTGGCTTCAGAATGAAATAACTTCAAGATTAAGTAATAAAAAAAACTTTTCGCTGTTTTATAAACTTACTTTGTAGTTGCATGTGTGGAGTGTGTGAATCATTAACGTTAACTGAGCTCTTACCTGAACAGCACAGCCGAGCAGCAGCAGCAAGAGTTTCTTCATCTCCTCCAGCCCTTGTTCTAAAAACACACAAAACACTCTGAGTGACTAACAGTTAAAACTCTGTAAACATGTCTGCAGCAGATGAATTGTTATCACTGTAATTCTGTCCTGGAGAATGGAAACCCTTCAATCAAACACTTGCGAAGGTTGGTTGGATCTAATTCAGCTCAGTGTTCAGTGTGTGTGTGTGTGTGTGTGTGTGGGGGGGGGGGGCAGACAGGCTGAACATCCACGTCCCCTCTTCTACACGTCAGGACACATTGTCAGAAACTGGTGAAACAGCTGCGATCACGCTCAACAGGCCTGAGCTCATCTGAGGGATTTGGGACTGAACAACAGTAAACCAGGTGTGTGTGTGTGTGTGTGTGTGTGTGTGTGTGTGTGTGTGTGTGTGTGTGTGTGCATTCGTGTGTGTGATAAGCCAGCTCATCATGAGGTCCAGGGGGCAATGAGTGCTAATGCTGTCCGGCTCTAATAATAATAGTAATAAATCCAGATTAGTGACAGCATGATTTCTGTGGAGGGTGGTCTGCTGTTAATGGGCCAATCATCACAGCAGGAACAGCTTAATAGCAGGCGAACGTTACAGCAAAATGTATCACTGTTGCTATGGTTACACCAGCATTTCCAAACTTCCAAACTACTCCAGAGTAGTTTGGAAATGCTGCCAACTCCATTTTAGTCAGAATATTTTGGGGCTGCATCGTAATCTGGACGCACAGAAATGAAGGCGCTTGGAAACAATGACGCCGCCTTAACTTCCTGATGTCATTAGTCATGACTCAACAACCAGCGGTGAAAACATGGTCAGTCCAGGAAAAGAAATCCCTGCTCTTACTTTACACCATTGCAGCCATTTGTAGTGTTTTTTGTAAGTAAGCAACCAACCATCTGCTGCCTGTTTACACCGGCACGCACACATGTATGTGAATGATGTGTGTTCTCAGGTGCTTTAGTATGGATGGAGTTTATTACTGATGTCGATGGAAAATGTATTAATATGGATACAACCTATCTGTGGGTCTTTCCAAATGATTTCAAATGAAAATCAAATTAGATGAAGAAAACTACTGCAAATTATTGAATAATCCTCCAAATAATGACATTGCTGGATAGAAAATGTGTCTGTGTAAAGCCTTAGTTCAGACAAATCACCCAGCAGCTCCTATGGGATGGCTCAATGTGCCAAAACACAACGTTTCCCATTGTCAGCATCTATCCATCAATTTTAAAGAATCTCCCCGACAATCGAATCAGTCTCCTCTTTCTCATTCGTCTTGAATCAATAGAGACACACAAATCATTGTGTTACTGAGCAACCAAGACCTCCCTGTGGACGGGACGTGGCAGAGACAGTTAGACCTGCAGAGTTTGACATTGTTCTCATGACAGTAAAGAATGGATCCAATGTGGGATGAGTAGTTGTTGAGTGAGAAACCGGCTGTATTCCAGATCATACTGAGCTTCAGCCATAACACCAGCCTGTATATTTTTGGTGGAACGGCAGAAAGAAAACTGGAGCTCTTAATCTATAAATTCCTCTGTGTGTGCATGGACGTATATTTCACTGTTTATTTACTCATAAGGGTTAAGTTAATGTTTGGATATATCAATAATTTGCCACAGTACAGAAATTCAGCTCTAACTGTAATTCAGGTGTAAGACAGACTTTGTTTTTCTCGTTCTTTTTAGCCATTGGGTTTAAGGTTTAAGCTCGAAAGTCAGAAATAGCTTCAGTTACCCAAGTTAATATTGTGGTGTGCTTGGTCAGGCTTATTCAAAGCAAGAGGAAGATGCACAACCCCATGAGCACCGGCATTCATCATTTTTAAAATAAATATTAAACATATAAAGCAAATATGAGCAAAATCTGCAGGGTGACAGGCTTAATTCTCCCAGCTGCAGGGTTTAACGGTTCTCTGTCGGAGCCACGGAACCCATTCTAGTCAGGGAAGGGATTTAGCTCAGCAAATCTACTGGAGCAATGGAGGAAAGATAAGGGACCTTAAAGGATAAATTATTTATACAGCGAGAGTGGGAGAACTAGAGGAGGGGGAGAGATGAAAGAAGGAGAGAGACAAAAGGGGGAAAGCACCACGGAGCATCAGCAACACAAAACACAGGGGGAGAATATAGACATAGAGAAACGGAGAGACAGACGGAGGAAGTCAAGGAGGCAAGGTTGAAAATAGAGAAAAGAAATCTCCCTCAAGCAGCAGCAGCAGCAGCAGCAGCAGCAGCAGCAGCAGCAGCAGCAGCAGCAGCAGCAGCAGCAGCAGCAGCAATGAGGTTTCAATGAGGTTGCTCCCCATCCCTCTGCAGGCCTCATATTTCCTCTGTCCCTCTCTTCCTTCCCTCTCACCTCCTTCATTCATTTATTCTCTGCAACATGCATCCACCCATCCTTCCTTTCTTCTCTCTGCATTGTTACATCTGCACCTTTGCATCATCTACGCTTCCTGTTCCACCTCCCTGCTTCATCCTCATAGCAGGAAACCAGAGGTCAGAGGGACAGTGACTAACCCTCCTTCCTGCAGCGTCATTGTTAATCTGTCTGTGAGGATGTGAGTGAATAAGAAAGGAAAATATAAATGCAACCCTCTTCTGTGTTTGAGTCATTCCGGCCCCGGTGACGCTGCACATCAGTGATAAATCTAGTACATGCGATCTGATATTTCTATGACAACATGCCAGAGTGTATTCAGCCATTTCACTGGAGCAGAGGACAGAGACAGCAGAAATTTGTTTTCAGATTGTTTTAGGGATTCTGTTCTTTTTAGGACAAGATACAGCGACGACAGACATGAAACGCAGACCGCCTGGAGCTGAGGTCAGAGTCGTGAGCAGCGGAGCACGCAACCACACACGGACAACCGAACGAGCCGAAAATAACCACAAAGAATACAGAATAACAAACCAGCGTTCTGTCTGGTTTATCTTCATTAGTCATTCATTAAGATAAATCATAAATCTGGACAGCGTCTGGGATCTTTACGTGGTAATCTGTCGTCTGTGCTGGGTTTTCCTTCAGTAGAGAAGTAAATGATTTATTTCAGTCGCCATTTTTTTGCTGTGTATTTATAACAGATGCAAACCAGATTCGACAACAACAACAACTGACTGCAAGAATGAAGCAGCTACAGATACAGACACAGAGCACTGACAGTCACCATGCAGGGTGGATGCCAGGTATAAAGAGGGTCTGTGTGTCACTGTGCATGTATATACAAGGCAGACTGGGGTGGATCAGAGCCTGGGGTGGGGCGGTAGGGGGACAACTACAGTGCATTCCCACTGTTCAGCGTTGTGAAGAAACCCTTCCCCCATTCTCCGACTAAACACACACGTGCATGCACTCACACACGTAGCGTCGTCCCCTGCCCCCCCCTAATGAGAGCATAATAAAAGCCACATGGCCAATGACTTTCAGCTGGCAGCCACAGAGCCAGACTGCACAGCCACTGCTGGTCGGACTTAGTGGCTGACTTACTGATTATCTGACAAGCTAGAGGGTAAAGGGCAGAAGAAACCCTGAGGAATGCAGCCTAATGCTTCTGGCCTGGTCCACTTGCTCCGAGCTGCCCTCCACTCTCAGCTGCACTGGTTTTACTTTTGAATTCACTTCACAATAATCGCTAAGCCTGTAGATCTGGGAGGTGCTGCACATGAAGATCTTCAGATATGTACCGCTTTAAAATTGGCAATGACATATTCAAACAGAGGATGTTAATTTATGAGTAAATGAATGAATCTCTATCGGCTCCTCAACGATTACAAATGTATAAAATGAAATAATACTCCCCTAACATCTGACTTTTGTGTGTAATGGGAATAGATTCAATCGATATTCACTCCTGGGTCAAGTGCCTCTGCAGTAGACTCTGGTTTTTTATCGTCTCCAGCTCTGGTGGCAGTGATGCAAACATTACACTTGGACTAACAATTTCTTGTTTTGGCAATCTGGAGATTGACGCTGCCCCTTTTTGTGCGTTATCCTAGAAAACACAATTGACTTATTGTCGTTGGTGCATAAATAGCCATGAACTTTTTGTGTCCTTCTCGACGTAGCCTGACTCGCACCTCCCCAAAAATCTAACTATGTGTTAAGACGAGGGATTTGTCCGCTTGGTGGCGTCACATTTCCTGCAGACTCACCAACATTTCTTCGTCTTTCTTTTTGTTGCAGTTCTTTAATAAATGTTATTGCTCTTCAACGTTTATCAACTCCAACACGATCCACTTAGTAACACTCGCCATTCTGAAGTAAACAGAAGTGCTAGAGAATTTGTTATTTCTGCGGTCTAATTGCAGTTATTAATGGATTGTTTGTTTGGTTTTTACTGGTGTATTGGTAGAACAGAGGTAGATTTGTTTTTTTATCTCTACGTTAAATAAACAGCCACGTTATGCATCCTTGCACGAAACAGAAACACAATCAGACACAATGTCACACTCACAAATGCATGTGTGCTCAGTGCTGGGCCTTTTGTTCGTCTGTGTACCCTCCGTACCGGCGGGGGCGTATGAAAATTAAACCGGTGACTGTGACAACTGAGAAGTGATGAAAAGTCCAAAATGTGTGAGCAAAGGCTGGTGGTGAAAGTGCGACAGCTGAGGGAGGCAAAAGGGATTCAGAGGCTATTTGGTCTGCTTGAAAAGGTGCAGTTATCTTTCAACAAGCTCTGGCAGCTGCGACTGGAAACAATTCACTTTGAAGAGCTGATAACTGCGTTTGTAGGGAAGTAGATGAAGGCAATGAACGTTTCTGCAACCCAGTATACTTGTAGTGGTTTTACCTAGAGTTTTGTGCCTGTAAATGATCTATGTGGGCTGGGAAGCAACACAACTCTTCATCTAGACAAAACTTTTATCTTCACAAGTACGATGCCACTGCTCAGAGGCTTCATCATGGTCATATTACAGTTTTATATAAAATATGCATGGCTCAAGGGGCTGTAAATCTTTTTTTTTTTTACAAAACACTGCTGCTGCTCAGACTTATCAAATAACATTGTGTTCAGTTCAGAAGGTCGAGGCTTTGCTGTAAAATGGTTAAAAGTTAATTTGAAGTCTGCAGGTTTGGGCTCCGTGTGGTGAGAGTTTTGTTACCAAGGACAGAGGGACAAAAGGAATGTGAAACTTAGTACCTGAGTAATAAAATCGACAAATAATGGGTGATTAAAAAATTGTTCCATTGTTGAAGTGAAGACAGGGATCAGTATAATGTATGTTTTTATGCTTCAACAGGAGGGATGTTGGAAAGAAAGTATGAATATTTGTACTATTTTCAGCACAATGAAACTCACCAGACAGAGGGTTCCGGCCCAGAACCAGCACGTTCGGTAAAGGCATCATGACGAGCTGCTGGAGACTCTCCTGTCACACACAGACATAAAAAGAAAAGAGGTCAGGAGGAGAAAGCAATGGACAATATTTAGTTTTTAAAGAGTTATGGAGAGAACAAAAAACGGAAATACAATTTTCATGATGCTAACTGAGGCTAAATATCTTCATTGAAGTATTGAGGGTGGTCAAGAGTTGTTTGTTATTTCAGCATTTCAAATGTCATATATTCAAGCGATGATGCCGAGTGCATTCACTTGAAAAGGTCGAGCAGACCCACTGTGACTCAACAACAGCCCGGCAAAATATTCTTATAGTCATAACATTTATAGTCGTATAAATCCAGTCCAAACTAAAAGCAGTTCCTTTATGTAAAAACGACATGAAGCTTTGGTTACTTGAATATTTCATATGTACCTGATGGCAGCTTGAACTCAACTGATGCCACGGTTCAACTATTCTGTGCATGTTAGTGCTGAAGTCACGACAAAGAGGCTCAAATAGGTAGATAAGGGGTTTTGGTATTTCCAGGTTCTGTGAGCAGGAGAACAGTTTATCACAGTTTATCACAGAGCAACTACACATTAATGCAGATGTTTTAAACTGTTTCTAAGAATATGTTTTCAGACTCCGAAGCCTGGAGCGAATAAAATGTCACGTTACCATTCTTTCTTTCAAGATTTTCATCAGAACTATAATTCAGCTCCCCTTATTTCTCATGGACCTTCACTATGAGCACTCGTGTTTGAGGAACACACACTCATTGTTTCTCCACGCCGAGAGAAATTTATATCGTACAGCTGCAAACACAAATTCACCTACATCTGCCTTATCAGAGCTGGCAGCAGAGGAGACTCTGACGCCTGTGGTCGTCTGAACCTTTGTCGGCTGTTTGATTTTATGCGGAGTAAGAAAAACCACTGGTTTACAGAGGGAGATGTGAAGAATCAGGGGACAGATGGTTCAGTAGATCCCTCGCATCTGGTTTCAGGCCGATAATAGCACAGTCTGGTAGGCAAAGAAAGGAGCTACAACAACATGTACAACACTAGTTTGAGTATTTGTATTATTTCATGTGTTTATAGTTCCTACATACATAGAGACACATGTGACGCTGCTCAAATAATCAGGACTGTGTTGGAAAACACATTTTATTATTATATTATTATTATTATCATCATCAACCCCACATACAACACCCACTGAAACACAAAATCTCATCGGATCTATGCTTTAACCTCCACACACACACAGACGGGCCTCTATGACCTGAGGTGAAGGTCAAACTTTGGGTGGCAGTGATTGTCAGTCATGGTTATTAGGTTAGGAGTGTGGTTGCCATGGTTTCCTGTCAGTGGTGATAAAAGCACTGACCCCAATTGCCATGTCCGTCCATCTCTCTGTTTACACTGTGTGTGGTGCATGCAGAGACGGAGGATATGGTGTATTCTGATGCCATATTTTTACAAGTGTATATGTTAAAAAATACATTTAGATCAGAATTAAATATAAATGTTAAACAGACAGACATCAAGAAATGTGATAATGTCAACACAGACAATGATGGTGATATACTAGATGATGTTATATAAAAGACAAGTTCATGAAGGCAGAACAATGTTCTTCTGGTGATAATTGTGCTTTTAGCTTTATAGAAAATAACTAGAAAGACACTCAAAGAGTGTATTCCTCAGCCATAAAATTCAAATTTCCCACATTTATAAATATCAGTTCCCCAAATTACCCGATTATGTTGAAAAAAGCTCTCACAGCGTAAAGAATGAGACTTAAAACAAATCTGGATCCACCCCCGTTGAAATCCGTGCAATAGTTTTTGTGCAATCATACTTATAAATAAACATACGAACAACAGGGGTGAAACACACGACTACGCAAACACACACACACATACACCACCTGTCCCACGTCTGACCGCCGCCCCCCATCAGATCCCACTCACACCTGTCCCCTTCAATGACAGCTAGTGTTTGCTGTGTCAGCGCAACATTTCAGGCCTTCACACACACTTCTCATGCCACCCAGACACACAGTGACGACATTTCAATTCATCACCATGTCTTCACACAGCTGGGATAGTTTACTGGGGGCAAGATTACAGTCAATGATTAAATTCAGTTCATGCATCAGATGCTGTTGTTTCTTGTTTCAACCTGAAAATGAATCATTTCCACTGATTTCCTGTCTTTTCAGTCGACTATTCAGCTCCACTTTTTTCCTTGCTTTCTAAAGGGCCACAGAGCTACTCGTGAGTCAGGGGTTCTACCTTTTCTCTGGTGTTGACTTGGAACCGTTAGAAATAAAGGCTAAAGGCATGTAGCATACCATAAGGTTTAGTTTATTTGAAAATAACTGATTTCCATGAAACAAGGTGGAAGAATGGGACAAGAGCCAAGAAAGAAGGAAATAATTCATGGATTCTGAAGAAAGTTTTGAATGTTAAAGGGACTGTTGGGCCCTGGTGGAGTTCTGGGCTCTACTTGTAGTTTTTAATCTATTGTTTGCACCTGACTTTACAGTTTAGAGACAGATAAATACGCATGTCACAGCTTCATAAACTGTGTAGAAACCACCTTTATTTTCATGTTGGTAAAACTGGATGATGCATGTGCTCCTAATACAGTAAATACATTGCTAGTCAAATGTACTGTATGTTTGAGGCATGTGGTTAATAACATGTTTTGCAGATTAGCAGCAGGCTACTAACAAAGTTAAACTGCAGTCGACTAATATGCCTCGTGGATTAACTGGCAAAGGCTTAACTCTCATACATAAAACATGATGGGCACTGCAGGAGAGAGAGAGACCAGCCACCAGCACGCTGAGCATGTCATGGTGATGTGCTGCACACACATGCACGTGCACATGCAGCACTCGTATAGAAACCCCTCCCTGCTTTGCTGTCGCTGTGACAGCAGAAACGTCCTTGGATTTTTCAGTGTCGGTCTTTAAAGTTCACAATCTAATCATTGCACATGGGGAATGTGGAACAGCCGGTCATTCAAATGTTCAAAAAAAGCCAGTATTCACGCAGAGAGGGAGCGAGGGATGAGGTGGAGGACGAACTGGTGGGGAGGGACGGAGGAGAAATACTAATGGAGGGGGACGGATAAGAATTTGAGCAAGAGAGAGAGACGCAGCTTTGATCCCGTCATTTTTCACTCCAGGCACGCAGGACCGAGCTGCCTCCTGCTCTCTTCCTCCTCTCCTCAGCATCTTCCCCTTTTCTCCCCCCATCCCCCCACCCTGACACAACACTGCTGTATTATTGATTCCAGCAGGATTCACAGCTCCTCAACACCGGCTCCTCTTCCATCCCACGGAGACGGTTTGGACATAAGAGGTGTCGTTTAAAGGGGAGCTTGTCAAACACAATGGAATTTACTCATTCAGCTAAAAGTGGGCTGAATGGGGAACTTCTGATGGTATTGTTCTGATTGGGACAGAGGCCTGGTAGACATCACTCACACACACACGTTAAATACACGACAAATTGTGCACAAGAGTAGGTAACCATGTGTGTGTGTGTGTGTGAGTCTGCATTAAAGAGGTGTCAGTGGAAACGTTATAAGGCTTCTGTGTTTCTGTCTCACAGGAGCCCTGTTTGTTAACTAGCCACACACACACACACCTCCAACCAGTCTACCCACCCAAATAGAAGTTCCGCTGCCACCACAGCTTTAACAAGGGACTAATTGTACTACTGCTGTGTGTGTGTGTGTGTGTGTGTGTGTGTGTGTGTGTGTGTGTGTGTGTGTGTGTTTGTGCAAACGCTGCCTGAACCCTGAGAGCCTTCACACACCCATTTCGCAGATATGGATGGTTACCATAGAAACGGGGAGATGGGTTTATTCTCCCAATGCCAGTGAGACTGACACACACACACAGTACATGCTCAGCCCCTCATATGTGCATGTGCTCGTGCACACACATACACACACACACGCACTGCGGACTTCTCTCCTGCTGAAAAGCTGCAGAGATTATGAACTTGAAAAGGTTATTACCACCAACAATGGGAAGGAGCATGTTTCCTCTTTCTCGCTCATCAAACACAAACACAGAAACCACTTAACACCTGATCTCACAACATCCCCATGAACACAATCAATGCAAATAAAGCTTTTACTGCCGTTCAGCGTCGTAATGAACGTCGGCTTAGTGGATGGGTTCTTATGGTCTGATTTAGTCTTATTCAAACAAAGTAATTGTGTTTAAACAGGAAAGCAACGATGATCCCAAGAGTGATTGTCCAACTAAAGATATGAATACCTCCAAATCGGTTGAGTAGTGTTTACGTTACGCAACCTCCCTGGCTCAGGTAGTAATAACGATAAATCACTACCAGCAACAATATAAATGTTTTTCATACTCACACCACATCTCTCTTTTTTTTAGTTATAGTTAATGAAGCTCTGCAGAATGACAAAAACTTTTCACAAAAAAATAATGAATAATAGATGAGTCATCCTCCTTATCACGGCATTCCTGGTTATGTGCAAATTAATTTAAAGAAAAGTTAATTTAGAAAATTAAGCCAGTGTGCTTGCTGAACAGCTAATTAATTAGATTAGCCCGGACAAAACAAACCAACAGTTGCGCTCGGCTGAGTCGGCTCAGCAGTAAACTCCGATGAAAAGAGCAGCAGTCGACGTCGACTGTGGCCCAGATGGACAGATCATCGATTACATGAGGAGGAGGAGAGAACGAGCCATTAGGAGCTTGTTTCTTTTGTTCTCTGCTGTTATCTATCAGCCAGAGTGCTTTTTACAACTGGGCCCCGAGGCTGAACGAGTGGACGGGTTGATCCTGCTGCTCGTATCACAAAGGTGGAGGCAGGTGGGGGAGTACAACCCCTCAGCCCCCCCACTAACCCCACCGCATCACCCCGGGGCTCCGCTTCAGAAAGTTCACCCACACGCAGGTTTTCTATCCTTGTTGGGACTTTGGATTGACTTCCATTGACTGTAGAGCCGAACCAAAACCTTATCCCTAACCATAATTCACATCACAGC